GATGAAGAACTTTTGCGTACCAGTTGCAATGCTTGGATAAAGATATGAGTAATAATTGTTTCGCGATATGATATAAAGAATAATGAAAGTAGAAATGAAAGAGAGAAAAAGAAAGTAGAAAAAAAAGAAGGAAAAATAACAGAAAAAAAAAAGGAAAAGGGGAAAAAGGAGAAGAAAAAAAAAAACGGTTTCAAAAAATTATAATGTATCATGCAATGGTAGACGCAAAAATACTGTAAATGAGTTCTTATTGAAATAACTCTATGTTGCTAACAAACGTTTAAAATCCTTTTGGGAAAAAAGAAAAAAAGAAAAAAGAAAAGAAAAGAAAAGAAAAAGATAAATGAAATATGTCTGTATATCCAAGATTCAACATCTTCATTGAAATAAGTTTATGTTGTCAAATATAATGTATGTGAAAAATTTATAATTCTTTTGAAAAAAAAAACTCGAGTGTTCAACGAAACATAAAATATCTCTATTATTTTCAGTCGCTCATTTATTTATAGCTTAGCTTTAGAAGTAAGTGTCACAGAGGCTGGTGTAAGATTTGCTAATGACCTATAATTACCATTTTCATTGATCGAGTCGGGATCTTTTAAGCCTACATCGGGAAGACAGATTATTCGTTTTTTCATCAAACGAAAAACTTACAGGATTAAGCTTTGGAAAAMTCCTTTAGTATGCCATTCGAAATTAGATCGTAACTGCTTAGCATAATGTGAAGAATATCCATTTAGTATTTGGAAAATCTAGTTTCCTTGAGTTAAAATCCCCGAGCTGGTTTTTTAAGAAGGATAACATTCTTTGTGGGACTTTTTTTTATAAACATTGATTTTAACTAAAGAAAGAAAAAAAGAAAGAAAGAAAGAAAAGAAAAAACGGTGGTCTCGAATATACCAAAACACTTGATCAAAAGATCGATTATTGCAAAGCTATTGTTCAACAGGGGCTTGCACAAAGTCGTGGAAATAATGGGACAGRTAAATTAGATTCATTTGCGTAATCTCGCCTTTTGAAAGTATGTGTTATGCCGCTCGAAATTCCTTGGTCATCTGGAGAAAGGACACCGACAGTTCTTTCATTACAATAACAACACTACAGTCTTTCCACTTCAAATTTAATATCTTYCCATACAAATGATAACTGTTGTATAGGAAACAAGAAAACATGGATGATACAGGTGTGGCTGAGCAATATCTTCTGCCCTTGAATTAGAATTAAACTAGGAGTTACTCTATAGCCAAAGTGTTTAACGCCAGTTACAAATGACGTATTGAGAAGGTAATTAGAAGARGGTTTAAGTACCCGCTAGTAGCGCCGTCGTGCTCATTTAATGAGAACCATTTCCTCTTCACACAGAAATCAAAACCTCTATAGACTGAAGTGATAGCATTTGATAGTATTCATCTGAACGCCCTAAAGCTAAGACCACAACCACGAGAATCTCTCAGAATTTTCCACCTAAGACACAGGCTACAGTGATAGCATGGTAAGTTTACTAGGCTTTGTTTCTCTTATTYGTATAACGGTTTTCGACTTTGGCCAAAACTATATGACTAAAGCTCAATACATTTTCGCAAGGCTAAAGCGAGATCAGCTAAGAACATAAAACGAGCAAAATATTGATTTRTTTTCCATAATTGCTTCAGTTGTTGTTTTTATCAACTAGAAAACAAATACAAACCAGACCAAATACAGCTCGTCAATAAACTCTTGTGTATGCTGATTGGAAAGAAATCGTCCTATATCGATTTACAAGATGGTGTTCGGCTAACCTTTTTAAACAACGGTGTGTTTCTTTAGAAAGCTCCAGTATAGATAATGTCGTATATAAATACAGTTGTGTACGTAGTTTTTAGCGTATAGCGAAACGGAGAAATATAATGATACTTAAAAAAATTATTCTCTATGCTTCGTGAATATAAGAGAATCACGTCAAACTAATACTTAATCGTTGTCGTGACTCTGCAATTTGTTAGTTTATCATGCAGCTAGTTCTTATTCGAACACTGCTATGTTTTCTCGTATGATCAAGAGCTGTGATATGGTTTTAAAAATGGACTTCTAGATCTCGTCAGTACTTTGAAATTTTTCTTCTTCTTTGTTTTACTTGTCGTGTGCAAGGCTCCCAAAGCACATTAAAAAATGTCGGTAAATGTTGAAAATTCCTGTGCACAATAAAAGGTACATAAATTTGGAATGGAATAAGCTAAATCTATTAGATTGGAAAATGGATTTTGTCGAGAGGATTGATCMTAGTTATCGAGATACCAACTTGGCTTTTCAGTTCTTTGGCTGTAAATTCTTTCTTCCCCTTTCAACAACCACCAAATCAACCTCAAGGCCGCAAATCAATCAAACGAGAAACATGAATAGARCTTGTCTTTACTCTTTGATTAAATTCAGGAAATATGGATTTAAAGTCAGTGTAAATTCATAAAAWTAGATATTAAAATGTAAAAAAAAGTTTCAAGTTAAAATATGTAAGGAAGAGCGATGGTAGTTTTTCCCTGAACTCTATCAACTTTTTCTGTTCATTCTTTTGATATTTTTTATTCAAACCCTTTATTTTTATTTTGTAAATGTACAAAGCAAAATGTACAACTTCTTAGTACCTAGCTGGAAGGAAAATTGGAGTGATGACATTCAACATCCTAGATTTAGGTAAAACATTCTTGTCTGTCTTATTCAAGAAAATAGAAATAATATATAAAAGAAATAGTTTATTCGTAATATTTTCAAGAACATTTTCTACATCTTTTTTCATAATTTCAACATTCTATCGAGGTATTTTCCAAACRTGAGCTTGATTTCTAAGGATATTTTGTAACGATATATTATACATAGGGCACTGTATGCAATAATTCCAATGAATGATCAAACATTCAATTATATATAGTGTGGATGAAGACTTTTTACTTTGCAGAAAAGGCTTAGTTTCATTYTCGCCATTGTTGATATTTCCACCACTAATTTTCTATTCAATCTGCGAGTATCCCTTGCCTAGTAAATAAGTTTAATTCATCAGTGTTTTTTCTTCACTCAAAGTAAATTAGCATGGTTTTCAATGAGGTACTTCCCACTAAAGACCGAAGATGGAAGAAGAGCTTAGAGTTAGATATGGTTTATTTGGACAAGGCGGTCCTTTCTTTTAGTATGCAATGATATTCTGATTTTTGGTTTATCCCAAAGAGTATTTTGCATCAAAAGATTCAAAAATACGAACTCGTTTAAAACGAATGTAATATTGAGTGAGCTTTCTTTCATTCGAATTTTAAAAAAGAAATTACTTACTGACAACTCAAATTATTTGTCAAATATTCATGGCTTTTGAAACATTTTTTCTTTATTCCAATATATTTCTACTAGAACTGATTTGTACTAAGATGTCCAACGTACCTTCAAATTTAACCCTGCATAAAACAACCTCTGGACTGAACAAAGTTAGTGCACAACTCTGACTGTGGAATTGGGATTTAGCTTGCTATATTTTTTGTATGGAGGAAGGCAGGAGAACTCGGAACCTACAAAAGTAGATATGCAGTGATTTCAATGTGCCCTATACGGGTCATGGCTCTAGAATTGTGATCATGAATGGGCTATGGAAAAACGCCTGCCCAGGGAGGCGAAAAGTAGAAAATAATGTTAACCTTTTGTTGTTAGGCGAGTTTTATCGGATTTTTGTTCTAAATACTAAAAATAAGTTTATTTTATGATCATCTTATTGCCTTTCATTTATGACCCGGATTGATTYCTSACTCCGTCTAAGAAAAATAGAGCTGGTATCATTGTTGTTAATGYAGATTAATATGATTGCATTACCAGCATCTCACGACAAATGCGGTCACCAACGATCCCACAGATCAAGTACTGTATATATATCTAGATCTGTACCCACTTTTTGGCACAGATATCTGCCTTCCTATACCGTAGTGGTATCATGACTGACAAGGAACATAAGCTAGATTGATTACCATTGACGTTCCTTAGTGTGCTTAGTGTCACATAAACCATATAAAAGGAAGAACCACTTCATATGATCCTTAAAAACTTTTACATCTTAAAATATCTCTGAATCCTCCAWGGGGTAGCTCTACAGCTTAACTAATTCCACACAATGCTTTATTACTTTGTCCTTGTGGTATTGGAGAAATACATTTTGATGTAGAGCTAAGATTCATTCCACAAAGAAAACCAAATTACTGAATACCGATCCAAGGTGTTGCAGTAAAGACGAAATCGTTGCAACACGTTTAGGCACGTTCTCCTAATAGACGTTTCTATAGTTMTCTTCATAGTCTGTCAAGTACATTTAGGATCAGTACACAACCAAGTYTTTTTGAAGCTTGGTTCTGCAGTCATCTATGTATTGTGTGTGGGRAAAAATGGATTTTGTGAGCTAATAATCGATTTCTTTTACCGATAATCGTTTTAAAGAAAGGTTTAAAATGAGACACAGAAAGTCTATAATCCAATAGTCAAACAAAAAACTTAGTTTAATAAAATGSTTTAGAGACATTTTAGCTAGATTCAGTTGAAAATAATCGTTACAAAAAATGTATTAAGATAAATGGGTGTGGTCCTGAAATCAATGTCCTATAAGTTTGAAATTAGCTTACTGATTGAGTAAAAAATGACTTGAAGTTAAAATGTATACTCTCTTGAAGGCACAAGGGTTTCTTTTTAAAAAAATCCTGAAATTTTACTTAATTCGAAGCGGCATTAGTTTGGTTCTTATCACGTGCACATTTTTTTTAGCCCTTTTAACAAAGATGTTTGCTTAGATCAAAGYAACCGACAACGAAACTCTATTCCAGTTTAGTCAAAGACTCAGTTTTCCAATGGAATAACTGATATCATGTTTATAGGCATACATATATAKCAAGRGCATCGATTTRATAACGGCTTTTTTCCAAATTTGTWACCGAAATATTGTACATTTTAAAGCTTTAAATGGCGGGAAAATTAATAAAAAGAAATCTATGTTTACTTCTTCCTAACAAGGTAATCCAACCAAATATGGAGATAGAGTTGATACCCACAATTTGAACATGTTAAATACCTGATGACGCTTTTTAGCAAGTTTAAAGTTAATTTGTTTCATTTTAACTCGGTTTATCTTTCAACAAAAATAGCACAGAAACACACATATATACTATATGTATATGTCTCAAAATTGTCAAAGATTTAGGGGCTTGGTGTATATTGACATGTCTGTGTGTTGGGACCGTCCTATCTTTCAAGACATTATAAGCCTTAGTGTTATTCGTTTTTATTTTGTTTGTTCTCTTTCGAAACCATTCTCAGGTAATTTTGAAGATTTCAGTACTAATATAATACATAATACTACAACTTACAGAAGAAGAAAGAAGTGACATCAAAGACGGGAAAAAAAGAAAGAAAAGTAATGGATAGGATATATAAAAGAAAGGAAGGAAGAAAGAAAAAAGAAATAGAGAGAGAGAGAGAGAGAGAGAGAGAGAAAAGAAAGAAAGAAAAAGAAAGAAAGAAAAAGAAAGAAAGAAAGAAGAAAGGAACAGTGATAATTGTCCTCATAAAGTCATTAATTTCTTAGTCTTAGCAAAGATATTTTTTTGAATAACTTAATGGGTAAGAATAAGCAGCTAAATCGTCAAATTCAACACTAAACGATACAAAATACATAATAAAATAATTATTTGAAGTCGAGAAAAAAAAATCCTTATTAACCTGTTATTCGACTTAAGTCCTGATCTAGATTTGGATCATAATCCTTATTAGATCACCCTCGCCAATATTGTGTATCTTTTCTACTTAGTAATGTCATTATTCATTTGAAATACCACTAGTTTAAGATAAGAAAGATTTAAACAGAGCTTATTTCCAGCAAGATAGAAGGATATCAAGACTAGGAATCTAATTGGAAGATAACACTACTTTGTTTTAAGACCGTAGGTAATCGAGACTCTTCGGTCGAGTTTTCCTCCTGRAAAAAAAAATCTAAAATATCTGCTTTGGTAATAAATACGTTTTCCAAGCTTACTGAGTTATTATATGGTACTCCTTTTTTTCTTTTCTTTTTTTGGCTCAATACGGAATAAACTATCATTAATTTTCTACCRTTTTCATGAAATTGAGGATGCAATAATCAATTTTGGAGACTTAGTCAAAACATTTAGAGTTCATTGTACAAAGATGAAACATGAAAARGAAAAGAAAAATTAGGCAAAAACCATTGCAAAGCAAATTTAGAAACAAATATATTCCAACCCTTAATTAATCTTCCTTTTTACTTTGCCTGCCTTACCTTTTTTCTTTACTGGGGCGTTGACAACAGTGAACATTGTTCCTTTGTAACGATTAAGCAATCAAATATGGCACATTTTTGATCAGAATATGTCCAAGTGTTCTCATATTATTTTTGCTGACATGAAAAAATCGAAAATTATTCCAAACGTCAATCTTGTCTTAATGAGTATTCTTTAATCTTCATTCTTACCTACATTCATT